CTCTTGCATGTGGGGGAAAAAAAGAAGAAAAAAATTACAAAAGATAAAACAAAAAGAAACCAAAAACAAGCAGACAAAATGGTCAAAGAAAACATTTTGGTGCCAATTGCAAGAGACCCATGTTTATACAAAGATTTATTTTCTTTAGGAAACACTTGATTAATTGAAAAGCAAAGCTTGGGGTTGAATTCTTGACACTGCAGGGCACAGTAATAATTGCAATGGCACTAGTTACACAAACAAGTAACTGTCAAATAATTACAGGCTTTTCCTGAGGGTCTGTTTGATTGTTTTGATCAATGTTCATATTGCCTTAATACTGATCACTGTTTTCGCTCATCCATGTGCATGCAGGTCTTGCACCACAAAAAAAAAGAATTCTGTCACGCACGCTGTAAACAATGCTTGAAACTAAATCTTCCATTTTATTCACAGAAATGCAAAATGTTGAATATCTTTGCTAGGTCGGTGCCCTGTCAATCTACTTGGTTGGAATACCTGTATACGTGATTTACTGTAAACTTAACATCTTGCCAAAATTTCGAACAAATTTTAAAAATGCCCCTGTTGCTATGGGTTACCTCCAATGTTCCTGAGAGCCAACAGAATGCTGTATAGTAATGTTTGGTCCTAAAAATAAGTTTTGAAATGTCTGAAGTTTGTGAGGAATACTCTAAGGGTGAACAGTTTGCACGTCTATCTGTATTTGCATCTTTAAAAAAACAAAAACAAAAAAAAAACAAATAAAAAAAGACAAATTTGGGGAAAATTTCCTTGATCAAACTGTGATTATTTAAAAAATTAATAAAAAAACAAAAAACAAACAAAGAAAGACAACTCTAATTACTATAGCAAGTGTTTTCATCAGTGAACTGTCTTGTGAAAGGAATTTGTTGTTGTCAACTTCCCGATTGTAAGTTGTACAGTGTCAAATAAACAACTGTGTGTGCAATGTGTAAATAACAGCATGTTGATTACTAGTTTTGCTATATGACGAAAATAAAGGCAATTATTTTATTAAAGTCAGCTTTTTTAACAGATGTCTTATTGGAACGTCTTTGATCAGATCCTGAGCAGAAATTAATTAATTTCTATACCACAGAGGGTTCTTGCCAGGACGATATATGCCGTTTCTTATCTCACCTGTAGCAGAAATTGCATTTGACGTCACAGAGAGTTTGAACCAGCATGCCCAGTACATCTTTGAATTTGATCTGTATTTTCCACAAGCTTTTTGTCATGCCGTGTTACAGCAGAACACTGAAAACACAAACTGACTGACTACAGAGACCATTTATTCTCCAGCTACTCAAGTACCTACGTGTTCCTGAGAAGATCTCTAATGAAACACATAGATATGCAGCTCTATGTTTCTTAAAAACCTTTACGAGTCATGATTGCATTACTCATGGCATCCTGTTCCGCAACAAACACTCATCGGAAAATGTTGTGATTATTAAAATGGAACATGTTTACCAAGCATCAGAGCAAAACATGAACAGAATTACGTGAAAGGAGATGTAAGTGCATCTGAATGCAGGCTTTAACTAGCATGTTTTCAACCTCCTGAGAATGATGCTGTTCAATAAGATGCCACTAGATGAAAGTCATTCGCTAATAAAAAGAACTTAGATTAATAAAAGGCTAGTAATGTGAAGGGAATAGACATGGAGACACACTGAGACCAAATGAAAGGGAGGGGTGGGGAGAGAGAAAGCTGCAGTGATTAATGAGTCACATGATTGACGGGTGAGTCATCTACTGCCATGCACCACTGCAGAACCTCAAGCACTTATACCCTCTCCCTCTCTCTCTCTCTCTCTCTCTCCCTCTCTCTCTCATACACACACACACACACACACACACAGGCACAAACACCAGCCCACTCCCCCACACCCTGACTTTGGACACAATGCAGAACTCAATTATGCTTAAAAACACCTGCATTAGGCAAGACGCAAACACTCCTATTGCCAGAAGGCCTTGCGGTCTAATTCAAACTACACAGCATTTGGTTAAAACACCACTAAGACCTCACGGCGACCGATAATAGTGGGATTTAACCCCAAATAGATGTTCATTATCGTGCTGATGCACTCTAAACATCTACGGCTTCCCATCCAGCAGCCCTTAGTGTCGATCCGGCTGCAAATTAAGCATTGCGGCGACAGACGGCCGCTTGAAAATTTTCCATTAGTGACCAGAGTGCAGCGGCTATGGGGGACAGTTGTTTATGAGCCTCTGATGTGTTTCTCTCATTCCTTTTCTTTCAGCTTTTGTGTCAAAAACGCAGAGGGTCATGAATGAGCATAAGTGCCGCGAAGTCTCACGGCGCTGTTGTCGGAGGCTGGTGAGTCATGGCCACTTACGTTCTGCCTCAACCTCCATTCTCAAACAGTTTCACTGAAATATGCAAAGAGTCTGTTAAGTTACGGCGGTAATTACTGTAAATGGACGCCTGACTCTTCAAAACCTTCACACACGAAATGTTCCGAGTCATTAATGTACGCCACGGCTCCATCTGTTGCTCAGGCACGTGATCGCACGAACACACGTGTGCGCATGCAAAAATCAGGCATAAACACAGCCTGATGGCAGTGGAGCCAGCACTTCTGAGGTAAAAAGTGGCTGATAATGACTGTGACTCAGACAGCAGCTCTAATGATGCATTCTGCCGAGCCGACCGACCAATGACTGTGACTCAGACAGCAGCTCTAATGATGCATTCTGCCGAGCCAACCGACCAACACAGCACGGGAAAAAACACTCTTGGATGAAACTTTCTCTAAGGTGCTTCAAAGTGCCTTGAAGCTCTCTGCTGCCTTTGTAGATAGACAGCCCCCATTTATGCCCTTCCTGGATTTCAGTGATTAGCCATAATTGAACAGAATCATTTCAATCTCGGAGAGGTTGATACAAAAATGCTAAAATAAAAAATTCCTCTTCCCCCGATCCTTCTCTGTATGCCAAACCTTTATGCATGATGATAATTACCTTGTAATTACCATTCAATTATACCCTCTGCTCTCGCCGTAAGAGCTGTCAGTGTGTCCGTTAAGAGCTGATTGCCAGAGTCTGCCGTTGTGTCTCACAGGATGTGCTTTTACGCCGGTTTTTGGCATCAAACGAATGTACCTGCGCTGTCATGTTGTAATATATGGCGGTGGATACAGCTTTAATATGTCACGTACTAGAGGTTTCATTTTAAAGACTGTGTGAAATGATTTTCTTTCGGAATCAATTCAAAATGTTCCATTTCACACGCCGGGGGGAGAATGATCTTTGACAGCACTGGCAGGAGAGGCAGGCATCAGGCTCTCGGCTCCCAGCATGCACCAGCAGCCATGTTTCCATTAAAGAGCTTTGTGTGCTTTGACAGTAAAACAAAAGGAAGGCCATCTATCACGTTGTGAAGTCTGATTAATGTGGCTTGCTATCTTTATTGAAGTGTATTGATGTAAATGGAAGTACAGAAACTGTTATGACACGCAAGCTAAAAAGTGTTGATCACGATCAGCACTGCAGAAACACCTGCAGAAGGTTAACAGTGAGTGGAAAAACAACATCAACATTTCATTCATCTGCCGGTTGGGTCGGTGCCGCATTTAAAAAAAAAAAGGAGGAGGTGAAGAGGGTTGAGGAGCTGATGGAGTCAGAGAGAATGGAGGGAGCGCATGAAACCGAAAGAATAAAGGTGAAGGTCTGAGTGACTCACTCTCTATAAGTACTTATCCAGCAGCTCTGTAAAGTGGCGGACCACCTTCACAGTAACAAGCTCATTGCCTGGCTTCTCTAGCACTGAACGCTCTCATATATACGGGTGTTTCTGCAACTGTGGGCACTTTTTTGTCCCAGGGGTTGATTTTTTTTTATTAAAGGTAATAGATTTCAAATAGATTTCAATGCTTTTCTTTTTGATATATATATGTATATACAGTATATAAAACATATAATTTGTCATCATTTTTAATGTTTTACATTTCCTTTTTTACATTTTCAAAGAGTAACAGTAATTATAATTATTATGAACTTACTTTTTAGTCAACAGTGTCTGTGAAGAGCTATATGAAATACGAGACATGATGAGTGAAGAAAAAATGTCTGAGCTCACAGCTTTGGTTAAGCAATTTTAATGAATCATGTCAGGATATGTTACATTTATTTATTAATTAAACATTTAAAATGCAATTTCCATCACAGAATGTTATTAAACACAAATTGCGTTTAATAAAATTCTGTGGTGGAAACAACATTTTAAATATGTTCGAAATGTTTTCAGTGGTTACAATTAATTTTAAGGTGTACATTGTAATTATATATTTAAGTTGTGAGTAATATTAATTAACAATGTGCTCTTACTAGGGTTAGGGTTAAGATTAGGGTTTAGTTTAGGGGCAGTTGCATGTGATTATGCAAAATGTACTGTTATTACTACGTGCATGTACATGTGACAAGGACACTGCAAAATAGTTTTGCCGGTTTATTAAATATTTTTATTAAAATATGTTTAAACATGCAAGATGTGATGAAAATGACAATGCAGAAAAAAAGTCCTTTGATAATGTGTGCATATACTGTTGGATATTGTCAACAGACAAATTACATGAGAGTGTTAAAAGTGTGTTTTAAGAGAGTCTATTTTCTAAAAGCCCACAGGGACAACACTTGAACACACACTCACTCTTTGGTACTATATTAGGTCCACATTGTGTGTGCAAACAGCCCTCTTGTCTCGAGGGCGTAATCCATTTGATGTTTACATCAAGTGCTATTGTGGCAGATGGGGTAAAATGTCCCTCAGGGGTGTTTATCCTCATCTGGGGAGTCCAGACTGCTGACTGACCGAGGCAGACGAGGCCTGACACCTGAGCTCCACTGCTGTCACTCTTTACAGCAAATCTCCTTGTGAGCCATTGAGATTCATCAAATATTGAATGGCCACAGTTTCCGTTGCGTGAGAAGAAGGGGTTAGGGAGAAAGAGAACGAGAGAGCAGATAAACAAAAAGAGGTTGCTCTCACGGAAACAGGAGGTCAGTGAGATGGCGGGGACGGTTAACGACAGCCAAGCGGCCCAAGTGGGGTAAGTGAGCTCTCCATGAGTACAACACTTAACTGCTGATGTTTTGCTAGTGTCAGGCTGAGTTAAAAGGTCTCGGCTGGGGAAACTCAAGCCTCTGAGTGTAATTCGTAGGCAGATGGATTAATTGATAACCTCCCGTTGAGGGGTAAACAACAGTAATTGAGACTGACTGTCAAGGCACTGTCTAAGGAAAAGCCCAGCCATTAAAATGTACAAACAAATAAACAAAAACAATATAAACATGTTTTTTTTTTTACTCTTTACTCACTCTTTCTTTTAAAAATACAGAATGAGTACGACTGACCAAAGTGACAAGGAACAAAACTCTCCACAGGACCAACAGGAACAGGTCAGAGTTTTTCTTTATTTTCAATGGACCAATCAGTTTATTTAATTTACATCATAAAAACGTCCGACAAAGCAACAAGACACAGCACGCATGTTTACATATAAAAATGCTTAAAAGGCAGCGTAAGTGAATGCAAAAACGTGCTCTGTGTGAACTGTCTCTAAACACTGTCTCGAAACAACATGGGTTGCTTCACAGGCCGTTTCATGCGAGGAAGGGAGCTGTTGTGTTACACAAGAGAAATCTGAATCCGGCCAGACCCCAAACATTGCACAGGCCTTGGCAGCGACTCCTGTACACACACACAGTACGTCTAAACCTGTCACTGTTAACCAGCTGATAAATGCTTACACTGATAATAAGGATAAGGTACATTAAAAATGCTGAACAGTTTGTCCTTGTGCAAACGTTCGGCACTGAAATGCTAATGCTGTGTACTCAGGAGGATGATGGGAAACGGCCAGCACACAGGCCTAAATTGAGCCTACTCTTGGCTATTTTGGGCTGTTTGTTCTGTGGTAAAAATAAAAATTAGGCTATATTTAGAGTGAATAAGACTGATAGTGCTCACAGATCTTGTTTGCTTAGGTGTGAAGTAATGAATTTATAATGAGCGTGCTCTTCAATAGCTATAGGAGTCGCCCTTGAACTCTGCTGGTACTGCTTGAAATCTCTCCCCATCGAAGACCACAACATACCTCAGGTACAGTGAGAAACTCATGTTCGTGCTTAATATGCGTCTATATGAAATATAGGGCATGCTTTAATAGATTTATGATCTGGTTTGCCTGCCTTTTTAGGACTAGATAGACTCTGGGGTTGGATTTCATTGATCTGGCATGCATTCAGTATCTTGTTGCAACCATTTCAGCTGGTTGTAAATTATGTAGCCGAGTTAGCTTTGAAAAATATAACATGTCATTCCCGCATGTGTCCACTAGATGGTGGAGTTCAGTAAAGGTTTTGTTTCAGTTGCAGGCGGACAGTGAGGATCTAACACTGCCCCCCAGTGGTGAGCGTTTGCACTACCAGCGAGACCCCAGACCTCATTTTGGAGTTGCTCACTCCTCTCGCTCTGTGTCTTTCCCCTTGTGGGACAGTGATAGGCCGAGGGAGATGAAGAGGGGAGAGGAGGAGGAGGAGGAGGCCGTGGAATCTGTCAGCTGTTGTCCTCACTGCCATCTTGGGCTGCCACGTGATACACTAAGCTGGCATGAGGTAAGTAGACACGCCAAAAGTTGTTTTCAGAATGCAATACTAGTATACTACATTGTATATTGCCAAAAAATAAATAAATAAATAAATACACTTAATTAATATATATACTGTATACTGTACGTTATACATTGTATAATGCCTATATATTTATTTCACACACACACACACACACACACACACACACACATGGAATACTGCTATTTTCCAGTAAATAAATATTTAATACAATAATTATTCCTTAATTATATAAAATATATGAATGTTTGATTGTTTATGAATGTTTAATCTATTATATTATTCTATTATTGACATTATGATTATGATTATATTATATTGATAATAATATATAAATAATACAATTAATAAAAATTTTATGTGCATGTTGATTGTTAGAGACAACATAAAAATAGTATGACATTTAAAATAAATTGATTTACCCGACAATGGTACATTTCTCTGGCTTTGTTTTCACTGTTGTTTGATTTCTGTCTTTTTGTGCAGGCAAAGTGTCTGTTATTTGATGGGCAGAGAAACAATTTGTCTTAATAAAACTGTCTCCTGTCGCTCCTGTCTGTTGATGGCTATACCTAAAATAAGCTATGAAACTGCTGATATTTTTGTTCAGTCCTATTTTACCTGTTTATAAGTTTTAATATATTTGTTCAGTAATATATTGTAAACAATTTAGGAGCTGGACTGTCAGAAATAATAGAATTGCCTTTTAATAATACAGTATTACTATTCTTTGAGGTCAAGAACAGCACTCAACTGCTTCACTGTTTCTAAGCGAAATCCAATTCTTTATTTTAGCATTACATTACATGCTTTGTCATTTGTCACAGTGAGGAAATTGAACCTTTCAAGAGTCATGGATTTCTTGTCTTTACTATTCACTGCGGTGCTTATTTTATTCATACTATTATATGCTTGAAATGATGCCAATGCATTATGTGCAATGTTGTCAAATAGCATTTACTAAGGATGAATCAGGAATGTCAAAAATGTATTGAATTGCCCAAAGTTTGCTAACAATATGAAAAGCGTCATTGTTAAAACTGTGTACATGTGTGCATTAAAATGGTTTAAATAAAAATGTATATGGCCTGATGGTTAGTTATATCAGTGTCTGTAGTGCGCTATGCATTTTTAAACCCTTGTGTTTGATTGCAGGCGAGTATGGAGGAATGAGCAGAGGCTGAGAGGTTCATTTCTCAAGCACAAACCTCACATTTCAGGTGTTATCTGAGGCAGCCAAAGCCTGGGTGACTCAAAGTTGCCTCAAAATGAGAGTTCACACATGGAGTGAATTGTCAACATGGTTGAGTCTAGCAACATCCTAAAGCCAGAAGTGTCCATAGACCATTGGCTTATGTTATGGGGCAAGACAGGATGCCAAAATGATTTTCACTGGTTTTCAAATATAAAACGGGGACACAGCTCCATTTACCACAAGAAACAGACCTGCAGTGTATTATTTTATTAATATGAACATTTTGATTGGCCATATATTGGCCTTATATGTACATTTCTTTATATATAAATATACATGATATATACAAAAAGTATCTATTTGTCTGGTATCAGCAATAAGTTCACAAACAGATTATAACTGTTATTTGTGTTGATGACATTATAACAGAAATTCATATACCAATATTGCAATATCAATCAATAGTGCAAAGAATAGTCAACTTAAATTGATGCACAGTCGATATTGGGATGTGCAACATAGATGAACAGGAAAAGGTCGAGCAGCTAGACGAAGTTCCCAAGTAGCCTACTGTCAAATGACTATACGGAGCTCAAATGATCAGTAGCCTCTACAAGGGTGCAAAAGTAAAGTCTCACCAGGGGCGCCATTACGGGGGTGCAGAATATGTCAGGCATATGGTCCGAAGCTAGGGGGCCCCAAATCACGATTTTGGATTTTTTTTTAAAGAACGTCGTCTTGCGCTTAAACGGACAAACACAGATTGCCAATTTGAACATTCAAACGATTTTAAGGCATTCAAGCACAAGGATAGGCGAGTAACAACTCCATTCAGTGTGCTGTGTTACTCAGACAGCCGTGTCTCTGACATCTAGAGCCCTGCATTTCAGCCCGATCCCAACGGGTCCCGACTTATTTACGCACCTACGGGCTTCGGGACAATTTTCAAGTCATAGCTCAGACGCGGGCAGGCATTGGGCCTGTTTTAGGCTTCTCCTTATTTTATTTTTTTTTTATCTTAGACATCTATCAATTATGGTGATGAAAAAAATTTACCACACTGGTGGAAACAACACGAGATAATGCTACTGTCAAGACCGGCTCGGATGGTGTTTAGTGACCCCGCCAGCAGCGAGCGTGCCTTTATAGAAAAATAAATAGAGTTATAGAAAAAAAAGGAGGACTGGCTTTAAACTAGGGCTGCCCCTGACCAGAGATTAATTCCTTAAATTCTAAACCATAATGAACCTTTAATATTTAGGCTAGCCTATTCTGTGTTCAAGCGCATGCATTAAGCTAAAGCTTGCTGCAAAGCCCCGGCAAAATTACCATGAATGTGTCTGGGGGAAATGGTAAAAAGGTTTTTGAATTATTTATTAATAAACTAGTGTTTCTAGAGATATTATTTTAGGCAAGTCGTGATGATTTGAGAAGGTTAAATTGATCAAACGTGATCTACTCATTGTCTGCCGCTGGCCGCTTTGTCGTACACAAACAAAAACTTGATTTTAACAAACAAAAAATGTTCCAAATATATTTCTCAATTAACTTGATAAAGAAACGAAAATAAATATAACCACTTTGCCATTAAAAACAAAACTGAACTATTTTAATGGCTGCAACAGCAGCTGAGCAATGGGGAAGCGAGAAAGAGAAAAAAGACACGGGCTTCAGTCGGATTGGACAGAGAATTCTGATAAGCTGTCGGACAATTTATATATAGCCTATAGGCTAGTTTCTTTCAATCTCTTATTAAGCGTCAAAAGAAAAAAAAAACACATTCATCTGGAAGAAGGGGGCCCAAATTTGCTTGGATATGCGCCTAATAGCGCACATTTTTAGTTAAGTGTTTAAACTAACATTAATATGCTTGAAGTGTTTTATATCTAGAGATATTATTTTAGGCAAGTCGTGATGATTTGAGAAGGTTAAATTGATCAAACGTGATCTACTCATTGTCTGCCGCTGGCCGCTTTGTCGTACACAAACAAAAACTTGATTTTAACAAACAAAAAATGTTCCAAATATATTTCTCAATTAACTTGATAAAGAAACGAAAATAAATATAACCACTTTGCCATTAAAAACAAAACTGAACTATTTTAATGGCTGCAACAGCAGCTGAGCAATGGGGAAGCGAGAAAGAGAAAAAAGACACGGGCTTCAGTCGGATTGGACAGAGAATTCTGATAAGCTGTCGGACAATTTATATATAGCCTATAGGCTAGTTTCTTTCAATCTCTTATTAAGCGTCAAAAGAAGAAAAAAAACACATTCATCTGGAAGAAGGGGGCCCAAATTTCTGTCTTGCATACCTCCCTTAAAACTAGATCTTCATGGCGCCCTTGAGTCTCACTTAAATGTGCATTATGGGGGACATATGTCAAATTATCCATTCTGAGGACACCACTGTTTAAACAGGTCAGGTTATCATTTGGAGTAGGCTGAAAAGGATTCCAAAATCCAGAAAATTACATGGAATTAGATGAAAAACCTCTGAAGATAACTGAAATTGTTCAGTGGGTTTGCGTATATGTGCTTTTTACAACAGGGCTTTCATTAATTACCCTCATGCAAAGACTTTGAAGAAAATCACCTTTAAATTAGGATCTTTAAATTGATTGACTGGACAAGTACAATTCAAGCCACCTATTCAGTTCCCCTTTCCTTCTTCCTGATTTAAGGTTCCTTTCAGTTGCTAAAATATACTAGTAGAAAAATTAACTTGGAG